GTTTGTTTACTTAATCACATTTGTCTGATATTGCAATCACAAACACGATGGCTAAAAATACAGTAAAAGTGTAATAAATTTAAGATACAATTAAGTATAAAAAACTTAAAATAGATAAAGCCAAAATAAAACATATGGAATCAAGTCCCCCAAACCCTCGAAAATTACTAACTTTTAGCTGTTTTTTTATCAGAAGATTATTCAGGAAGGTTTTATCACCAAACAACATACATGTTGTGTTCTTAATATAGTATCTGTAGGTAATATTGTTAACATGGGATAAAAAAACCAACAATCTGCTTTCAGTGGGAAAAAATGACATTCCAAATAATAAAATGTAGATATTTTCACATTTTTCTCTTATCTTGCAATAAATCCAGGGATACCTCGAAGTATGTGTTCATATTTTAATGACAGTAAAAATATAGCTTGTGACATAATCCATGCAATCCATACCAATGCTCTCATGCTGTCAGAATTTTTAATCTATATTTTATATCTGTGTTCTTTATTGAGGCACTTTCCAGATGTCCAAAAGGTCACTGTTATACATTTAAGCCATTGTAAAGCAACTGAACACAATGCAGTCTCTTGAATATTTTAAGTTGCTTGTTTAATTCTCAAGGTTACCTGTTCCAGATGAATTCCAGACACTATCTGTCAATTTAGCAAAATGAGTTGCAGTGGGAATATTGTGAAAGTGCAGGACACTATAAGTTCAACTTCTGCCTTAGCCGTGGAAGCCATCTGGGTGACCTTGGGCCAGTCATTCTCTCTTCAGCCCAACTCATCTCACAAGGATTGCTGTTGTGGGTGAAATACTATGTTTTCCCGAAAATAAGACCCTGTCTTATATTTTTTTGAACCCTGAAATAAGCGCTTGCCATGTGCTCAAAAGCCCGATTGGGCTTATTATCAGGGGATGTCTTATTTGGGGGGAAACAGGGTAGGAGGAAAGAGTATTACATATATTCACCACCTTGTTTATATAGCCCAACCTTTATATAATAAAGGTTATAATTTATAAATTATATAAATAAAATAAAGGATCTAAATCGAATAAATTCATAATTATTATTCTATGTAGACGTGAAGGATTGCTGTTGAACCAGAACAGATATTAGCAATGCCAGGGAAGGTCTTCTGGCCTAAAGCAAAGTTGCTTGCAGTTGGCCAGGAGAACCTTTACAATCACAGGAAGAACCTAGAAGTCGCTTTTCTTAAGCAATATTATGCTAGAACCTGATGACAGAAAACAGTAGAGACTGTAATTCCTTCCTTCCTTCTACTTAGGCCAACATAGCAAAAAGCATGCATGGAACTCAGTCAACCAGATAAGAGAAGCAATTTTCCTGGGCAACCAGTGATGGAGAAAATGTGGTTCCATGCTCTGGAACCATTTCTAATTGTCCAGGTCACCGGTTAATTAAAGTTTTAAGGTGTGCTTAAATATAAGGTGATGCTCATTAAGCAGACCAATTAATTGACCAAAACTTTAATCTCTAAATTTTACAGATGAGATAAGGAAAAGCTGAATGGAAAACTCTTAAAGCCAAAGAATTCAAACCCGGAGAAAAGATTAAATGCAAGGAATGAGTTCCAGATTGGAGGAAGCAAGCTGAAGGTTTTTTTTGGGGGTGGGTGGGTTCCGCCCCACCCCCGGCTTCAAGCCCAGAAAGCAGCAAGGACTGTTGGCTTCTTAAACTGGAATACAAGTCTCTGCTCCCAAACCCTTAAAGACCTGGAACTTCTAAGGTAAAGATGTGTGGACTTCAATTCCCAGAATTCCCTAGCCAGCCATGCTTGCTGAGGAATTCTGGGAGTTGAAATCCACACATCTTCAAGCGGCCAAGGTTGAGAAACACTATTTTAGACAGAGATTTCATGGGTGTTTTTCTTCTCAGTGCTGCTCGGCTATATAGTTTTACCTCTCCCTTTGTCTTGTCTTTTCTTTTTGTTTGCATGCAGATTAATGATTGCATACTGCTTTTGTATCTAGATCTAAAGCTCTTATAACTTGATAAAATGATCGTATTTCCCAATTATTGGTTTTCTTTTTGTTATTCAAAATTTTTCTGTATTAGATGACTTTTGATTTCATATTGGCATCAGACATTCCAAAACTGTTTAGAAATGAGAACTGGTATCCATGGTTAAAAAGGAAAAACTGAAGTCATTCATTTGAGACTTTAATCCTGGGGAAGGAGGATCTTTGCTTCTGCCCCAAACAGTTTTCTCCCCATTCAATAATGGATGGTGGCAACTTAACTAGATAGAGCCTTGATAGTACAGTGGTTTAGTGCACCCTGTCATTAACACAGCTGCCTGCAATTTCTGCTGGTTCGAATCTCTCCAAGGCTCAAGGTTGACTCAGCCTTCCATCCTTTCTAAGGTAGGTGAAATGAGGACCCAATTTGTGGGGGCAATAAGCTGACTTTGTATAAAATCTAGAAAAGAATGAAGGCTATTGCTTAACGCATTGTAAGCTGCCCTGAGTCTCTGGAGAAGGGCGGCATATAAATCAAATTTAAAAAAAAAACAAAAAACTACCTGCCCCCGATGTTCTCCAAAGGGGAACAGCTACATACTGCAGAATTCAAGCGGAGTAAGTGGTCCCATTCTTCTTTTCTTAGATTTTAGCAGGAATCCTATGTGATTATTTTTATATGTTGAAACTCTTGTTGATTGTACCGTAGAGAAACTGTTTTTTTTCCTTAATGAATCACTGACTAATGCAGGGGTGAAATTCAGCCGGTTCTATCCAGCTCGGGCAAACCAGTAGCGGCAGCTTCAGGAGGCTCCGCCCACCTGCGCGGATGTCATGGTGTTCCTTTTTGTGACAATTTTCAGCCTCTGTGCATTCACAGAAGCCTTTGTGCATGCGCAGGCTTTGTGAATGGGCGGATGATGCATGCACATTTGCAAACCGGTAAGGAAGGTAGGTGAATTTCACCCCTGGACTAATGTCATACTTGGAAGAAAATCTTGATCAGGGAACCCATGGATATTGAATCAAACCACTTTATGGTTTTAGAAATTTCTGAATTCTCTTCTGAGCATAACCCATTGCAGCACTGAAGTGATGCAGAATTAATATAGTGAGGATGGAAACTGCAGTATGTGCATAATTAATTTTGGACACATTCATAAAATTTTTAGGAGTTGGAGAATGCTCCATTTCTTTTTCATTTCTGTGCTCATAGTGGTATGCGAGAAAAAGAGGAAAATGAAGACCAAGTTCTGAAAAGATCATACAGTGTAATTTAACTATAAATGATTACAATTCCAGATTGAAATCAATTCAATTTTCTGGGATGAAGAAAAATGATTACTTTGAGTCTTATTATTCAAGCTGGTATGAAATATACTGTGTTTCCCCGAAAATAAGATCTATTCTGAAAATGAGCCCTAGCATTATGTGTGCGGCTAATATAAGGCCTACCCCCAAAATAAGCCATAGGGAAGCGAGTGTGGGCATGGACAGCATAGGAGATGGTGAGTGCATGGGGCCTGACTGTGTATGGCAGTAGCCACATCCTGTGCAGCACTGAGCAGGCTGAGTTAAGTACTTGTGCAAGCAGCTGATGGAAACAGAGGTGGGGGGGAAGCAAACGATCTGGATGCACCACACAGACTGAGGTGGGCCAGAGTTGTGGGTGGTTGTGGGAGGCTTGTCTTCGCATCTTTCGGCCTGCCTGCAGCCCACACAGCACGTCGGGATCGCCTGCCTTCTGCTCCGCATGTTAGGATCGCCTGCCTTCCGCTCCATACCTTCTTTGCGCAGCCCCAGAGTGCGCCAAGGGACTGGCAGGCTGCAGCTGCTGCCAGACACTGTCAGCTCACACGTACTTACTGGCTCTTGTGTGCGAGATGGGGGTGGGATGCCCAGCTGGGCTGATCACCCTAAAATCGTTTTCCCCCAAAATAAGCCCTAGCGCTTATTTTGGGGGCCAAAAGAAAATAAGACTCATTTTTGGGGAAACACGGGTATTAGTAATCAATTAAACAAGAGTTGCTTCATACATAGAAGATCATCTGATTATATCTGGAGGCAGAAGAACAAATGCAAAATAAAAGCAATATTTTATATTTACCACAACAATATATAGTACATTTTGATTATATACTGTTTCTTCTTCTTTTACTTTTGCTTTTGTTTTTAATACTGTACATGCACATTTAAAACAAGAAACACTATACTATCTTTTACTTATAAAAGTTTGAGGTAGTATATCTAATTTATTTTCCATGCCATTAATATCTGGGATGCAGTACCTCTATATTCTTTCTAAAGTTAAAAAAGGGCTTTTTTATCTGCATTAGAAAGAAAGCCCTAACAGCTTTTTTCTCCATTTTCTAAGACATATGTAGAGGAAAGGAAAAACAGATGGGGTTTACCACTGTGAGAGATTTCTGGTAATAATTATTTCCAACTCACACACATTCAGCTGTCAACTCTGATTTATTCTTGAAACAAAGCTGGATTTGGTTGCCAGTGATGTGCTTCATTTCTATTTCCTACATTATGTGTAATTGTTTGTGTGTGTGAAGTGCCATCATCCAATCACCATTCAGCCTATGTGCCACCTATAATAATGAAAAAGCCACATTTCTCTTTCATTCTTTTAACTAAAGTGCTTGATTTTGTGGTCTGAATTGGTGCTTCAGTTTAACAGGAGAGCTGGAAAAACCAAAACAATAATTATGTCGGGGTCATATTCTAGCCTTTCCAATTTATTCGTTTAGAGCATATTTTTCCCCTCTGGGCATAATAAAACTAATATAAATGAAGAATTTCCTCTGCCCTCCCCATCCTCAATCTGGCCTATAAGTAATGGGTTTTTAAGCCATAAACGTAAGATATAAAGACATCTCCCTTTAAATAAAACTTGTTCTCCCTTCACTGTCACACGCAAGTGCTCATCTATTTGCTGGAGGAAAAAAAAATCCTACTCCCGCCCCCTTTACGATATTCTCTCCCCCCCCCTTTTTTTCTTTTTTCTTTTACTCTATGCAATAGAAATTCAAGCAAGTGGATTATTACACGAACGGTATCCACCAAGGGCAAGGAAATTCCTTTGCAATAAACAATAGCCGACTCGTCTTCCATGTCTTTGGCCGCCGCCATCGAGCAAGGTCAGTCCCGCTGCGGCAGCAGCTGCGGAGACTAAGGCGGGGGGGGAACCGTCTCTCCCGCCCTTCCTTCTTGCTTGGAGCGCGGCAGCTGCAACGCCAAGCAGGCTGATCCGGCCATTGGCGCTGTTGAACTCAACCTAAAGGAGCCGTCCTTCCGCCTCCTTCCTTGCTCAACCGCTGAAATCGCTGTCCATACGTGCCGCGGTGCTGAACTCGACACACACTCTCTCTCTCTGTCTCTGTACCGCGAGGAGCTGTCCAACGCCTCCTGGGTGCTGAAACCGGATTCCTTTCCGACATCTTTCCGGGGAGAAGACTAGACTTAGGGGCGTAAGTAGAGCTCTCTCTGGGCCCCACGGCGAACCTCTCAGATGAGCCCCACAACAATGGGAAGCGAGCCTATGCCGGTGCCTAGGCCTTCCGTCCCATAAGATACACAGGGGACAGAAACAGCAGCGGTAGCAGCAGTAGCTGGAAGCGTTCTTGAGGAAAGGCGGGGTGGGGGTGGGGGTGGAGATCGATGACAACCAGAACGGAGCTGCAAAAATCTGGCCAACCTTTAGAGGACAGCAAAGAAATGCAGCTTTCTACCTACCTTTTTGCTGCCATCTAATGGTCGCCCTAATAGGCGAGCGCTGAGGGGTTGGGTGTTTTTTTTTTTTTTTTTTGGCCACTCTCGCCTGCAACCCGCTTTCACCTGCTGTGCCGCCCCCACCCATCGTGCCGCCCCAAGCAAATGCCTGAGCTCCTCTATGGGCACGCGCTGGCCCCGCAGCGGACCGCAGAGGTTCCCCGGCCCGCCACCATTGCCTCGACGATATATGCGCCATTGAAAGCAGAGACGGGCTGCGCGTTGGAATATGGGTCGAAAAGGTGGCGGCAAGAGCAGCGAGAAGCCTGACCGTAGCTCGCCGCCTTCGTGTTGATCGCTTCCATCCTCCCTACTCCGCCGTCTGCACACAAAGCAGCCGCAGCAATGGAAGAAGAGCTGAAATGCCCCGTCTGCGGTTCTCTCTTCCGGGAGCCCATCATCTTACCCTGCTCGCACAATGTCTGCCTGCCCTGCGCCCGCACCATCGCTGTGCAAACGCCGGAGTCCGAGCAGCATCTGCCCGCCATGCTGCACCCTCGGGGCCCTGCGGCAGCGGCAATGCCAGGCGCTGGAGCTACAAGCGGCCCGGCTTCTCTGGACTACGAGTGCGGCGCCGGCGGAAGCAGTGGGACCGTCGGCGGCGGTGGCGGAGACCACGCCGACAAAGTGAGCTTGCACAGCGAGACGGACAGCGGCTACGGCTCCTACACCCCGAGCCTGAAATCTCCTAACGGGGTGCGAGTTTTGCCCCTGGTACCGCCGCCTCCGGGATTGTCGGCCGCGGCGGCTTTGGCCGGGCCCCGCGGGAGCGGAACCAGCTCCTCGCTCACCTGCCCGCAATGCCATCGCAGCGCTTCCCTGGATCCTCGCGGCCTGCGCGGCTTCCAGCGCAACCGCCTCTTGGAGGCCATCGTGCATCGCTACCAGCAGAGCCGGGCCGCCGCTTCGGCTACGGCCAAATGCCAACTGTGCGACCGCAGCCCTCCGGAGGCGGCCGCGGTGCTGTGCGAACAGTGCGAGGTGCTCTATTGCTCGGCTTGCCAGGTCAAATGTCACCCGTCCCGCGGGCCTTTCGCCAAACACCGCTTGGTTCCACCCCCCAGCCAGCAGCAGAGCGCCCCTAGCGGCGTGGGCGGGGCGTGCGGCGGAGGAAGTAAAGGCCCGGGCCTTGCCCGCAAGTCCCCAACGTGCGCGGATCATGAGCTGGAGAACTACAGCATGTACTGCGTGACCTGCCGGACCCCCGTTTGTTATCAATGTCTGGAAGAAGGAAAACACTCCAAGCATGATGTGAAAGCCCTGGGAGCCATGTGGAAACAACACAAGGTAAGCCTTGCCCACTAGCGGCCTGCCCTGCTCCGCATCCCAATAGAGGTTTCTATGTGTTATCCCAGCACCTGCTAAATGAGGACAGGGATGCCCCTCTTATAATTTATTTATTTATTATTCCAATTTATATACCGCCTTTCTCCCGAAGGACTCAGGGCGGTGTACAGCCAAAAGTAAAAGCACATAAATATAAAATTTAAAAATGATTTAAAAGCATATTAAATAATTTGGCCCAGCTATTCAAATAAAACACCCGTTTTAAAATTTAAATTTTTTTAAAAAAGTTAAAAAATTAGGCCAGCCCGGCTTGTTGGAATAAAAACGTTTTGAAGGCACGGCGAAAGGTGCACAAGTCGGGAATCCTCCGTATCCCGGGGGGGCAGTTCGTTCCAGAGAGCAGGTGCCCCCACAGAGAAGGCTCTCCCCCTGGGGGTCGCCAGTCGACATTGTTTGACCGACGGCACTCGGAGGAGCCCCTCTCTGTGGGAGCGTACTGGCCAGTGGGAGGCTATTGGTAGCAGCAGGCGGTCTTATAAGTACCCAGGTCCTAAGCCATGGAGCACTCTGAAGATGGTAACCAGCACCTTGAATCGCACCCAGAAGACCACCGGAAGCCAGTGCAGCTCGCGCAGGAGAGGTGTTACATGGGAGCGCCATCTCGTTCCCACAATCACCCGTGCGGCCGCATTCTGGACCAGTTGGAGCCTCCGGGTGCTCTTCAAGGGGAGCCCCATGTAGAGAGCATTACAGTAGTCCAGGCGGGACTACTTATAAAGTAGTTTATTAATTGTTTATTTATTAAATATATATGCCATACATCTCACTGTCTTGAGTCACTCTGAGCTATGTCCCAAAAGTGAATTATTCCCCCCTAAAACTTTCCCGGGCATTCTTATTGAAGAGAAGATTACAATGCTGAGCAGAGGAAGAAAAGACAAATGTCAGAGACACTGCAAGGAATGTCTCCGAGGAAGTGCAGAGTTTATATCCGATATCATTCATGGAAGATTGAAATCGGGGTCACTATTGTAATATGTGCAACTGGCAGGCCGAGTTTAGCACTGGTACTTCTCATTTTAGAAAAAAATGCTGCCTTTTTATTAAGACGAGAATGATTTACATGATCTGAGCAGAAAGCAGATAATTTTAAACAACCCTCTTTAGCAAGATATTCATACCCTGTTTTCCCCAAAATAAGACATCCCCAGATAATAAGCTTAATTAGGCTTTTGAATGCATGGTAATAAGGCCAAGCGCTTATTTTAGGATTCAAAAAAATATAAGACAGGGTTTTATTTTTGGGGAAACACGGTACATAAGGTGTAATCAGGGATAAATTGTCTGACTTCAAATGGGCATTTTTAAACACTCCTGTTTTTTTAATGATTAGATGCATGCACAGTTCTTTACAATCTCTATTGTGCTTCTCTTAGCAACAGGTCTTATTCACCTTTTCAAGGAGTGAGTTAATCAGTTTTGAAGATTACTTCAGTATTAATGGCAAAATGAGACTAACAATATACTGTACCTCCCCACTTGCCTCAACCCCCATTCATCTCCCGTGCCATCTGTCACAAAGGGGGATGGTTTGGCTTTTCTCCCAAGCAAAGTTTTCATAGCAGCTTCAGAGCCACCAATTTCTGGCATAAGAATAGTTCAAGGTGTCCCTTGTGAGCCAAAGATTCAGGTCACTGTGAATATCAGGGATTCTTTGGGATTTTGAGAAGATACGTTCTGAGCAAAGCTTTGTGAGAAAGAAGTTTGCAGCCAATCACCCCAGAGACTTTTAAACATTTTGTTTAAAACAACCAGTTGACTAAAACAACCATGATTTTGCATCCAAAATGCTATACAGCTTAAGTTTACAGAAATAAAGCATAAATTATAAACAAAAAAATGAAGTACACATCAGTAAAAAGAAACGAAGAGCAGCCAATTAAAACTGACCGCAGTGGACAATTTCCCATCCCATCTGAATAAAAATGTATTTGATACAAAAAAGTGGAAAGCAATCTGGCCTTCCTTAGCAGGTAGCTTCAAAGTTTGGAGCAACAATGGAAAAGGTGCGTTCTCAGGTTCCTTCCAAATACACCTCTCTGATGATAGCAGGACCAAGGTTCTTCTTCAAAACTCTTAACACGTACTGTAAGTGGGTTCCCATATTTGTATGCCAGAACAGGGCTTTTCAAATAAACTATTGTCATATGTAGGTCAGAATCTTTTATAGTGAAACAGATTGGTCATTAGTGAATCTGTAGAAAGAGCCACATGCTCCCTGTACAGGTAGCCTTTGACATATGACCACAATTGAATCCCAAATTTCTTTTGCTAAGCAAGATAGTTGTTAAGTGAATTTTGGCCCATTTTATCATCTCTTTTGCCAAATTGTTGTTAAGTACAGTTGTTAAGTGAATCGTGTGGTTGTTAAGCAAATCTGGGTTCTCTCATTGGCTTTGCTTGTCAGAAGGTTCAAAGGTTGATTACATGACCATGGGAAGGCTGCAACCGTTATAAGTGTGAAAACTGTTCCTAAGTCACTTTTTGCATTGCCATTGTTATTTCAAATGGTCACTAAATGAATGGTTGTAAATTGAGGACTATTTCTAATCCGTCCCACATCCAAGATGTGTTTTTGAATAGAAGGTAGATCTCTTATCTGAAATCACAAGTAACCCTAAATTGAGTAAAGCCATTGGAAATGATGAATTGCCTACAGTCATGTTCCTTTTTGTTTTCTTTTTATTTTCTATTTGATACTAAAATTCAGGAGCGCTTAACCATTTGTAGCAAATGATTATAGGCTATGACAAGAATTAAAAGTATGTTATGCATAGATGGAGGTTTAAAATAATGTTCATATGTTGTTGTTTTTATTAAATCCAACTTTATGTTGCCCTTACTCTTAAGCAGATCTTGAGATTGACTTGAAAACCAATTAAGCCCATTTGTCCTTGCTGGGAAGGAAGATTATTGATTATTCACTTTGTACTTCAATGAAATGTCTTTTATTGCTAAATAATACATACTTTATACAATGTACATCCCCCTGGGGAGTGTATCAACTCCTTTATTTAGAGGTAGGATTGTTTTGACTCTGCATACCCACACAGATAGATGCAAGCCATACAGGAGCCTCCTTTTATTGATAAAGTAACATGTCTGGAAAAAATGCTATTAACATGGTCTTTCTTTATATGTGCTAACTTTGCTTAAGGGACTTTTTTAAAACCTGCAGTGCAATAAAAAAATGTCTGCATTGACTTCTCGACAGAGCTTGAGCGGTGAGCGAGGGCTCCCATCTCTTCAGTGTCTCAAGACAACCCTTGTTTCAGTGTGTGCCTGTATGCAGCCTATCCTCCTTCCAGTCTATTATACTAGCAATAATTTTCTATTTTTCTTGCAGAAAAATAAAAATAATTTTCTTATTTTCTCCAACTTCTAAAAGCTACTGAGAGGTTTTTTTCAGATGAAAGGTATGGTTCACCTTAATCGGGCAAATGAGCTGCCTAGCGTAGTGATGGCAAACCTTTTGGACTTGGCATGTTAAAAATTTGATTCTGCTGGTGTGTCCCCCCCCAAACAAAAGAAAATTAATTCTCTAGCTCTGCTCCTTCCCCCCCAACCAAATTTAGGTCACCCTGAATAGTGGCATTTGGCAATTGAGACTGGGCTTGAATTAGAGTCATGGCCCTTGACTTCAGCTCTAGCCCCATCACTGCTATTCAAAAAGGTGTCTTGTGCTGTTTCCAAAGTTATGTGAGCCTTGGGGAACAGGGTGATTGGCCTTGTGGCCCAGAGCTCCCCAGGATTTGCCATGTCTCTTAAAGTGGTGTTCTCTTTCTGTTTATAGGCTCCTGTGACCTATCCAAGGCTGTTCTGGGTCATACTAGGCCTTTCTTGAGTAGCTTTTGAGAATGTTTTTCTGTCATTGAAAAACATTCAGTGGACATTCTGTCACTGTCTCCAGTCTCCAAAAACTGCACATCCCATTCTTGTGTGATTTTTGAAGGCTCTGTCTGGAGACCGTGTAAGGATGGAATGTGCTTTCATGCAGTCTCTGAACTCTCTGGAAGTCATGCAAGAGCGCTGTGCTCTTGCGTGGCCTCTAGATTTTCCAAAACATTGCATGAGAATAGAGTGTGATCTTGTGTGACTTCCAGAGGGTTCATAGGCTGCATGAGAGCTCCTTACGTTATTGCACAACCTCCGCACTTCCAAAAATCACCTGAGAACAGGACGTGCTTTTGAGAATGGGTGTTAGCTATAGTGGATTGCTGGCATGTTACCCAAAATGTTGTGGCATGTGAGCTTTGACACACATCATAGGTTCACCATCACAGCCAAAGTGGATTCCATGACATTATGACCTGCCAGGCCCAAGCCTAGAGATGAGACAGTGAGATCCAATCGAGTACAATTGTTTATTTGCTTCCACCTAATGGTCAGAATAGGGGATGCGGTGGCTCAGTGAGTAAGATGCTGAGCTTGTCGATTTAAAGGTCGGCAGTTCAGTGGTTCGAATCCCTAGTGCCGCATAACGGGGTGAACTCCCGTTACTTGTCCCAGCTTCTGCCAACTTAGCAGTTCGAAAGCACGTAAAAAATGCAAGTAGAAAAATAGGGACCACCTTTGGCGGGAAGGTAACAACGTTCCATGCACCTTTGGCGTTTAGTCATGCCGGCCATATGACCACGGAGTTATCTTCAGACAGCGCTGGCTCTTCAGCTTTGAAACAGAGATGAGCACCACCCCCTAGAGTCGGGAACGACTAGCACATATGTGCAAGGGGAACCTTTACCTTTATCTTTAATGGACAGAATCTTGCCAAATTGAAGCTATAACCTTCTAACCTATTAGATATATCCTGAGAGATTTTAGGGTGTGGCTATCCTCTTCTCGTCCCCTTCCAGTTCGGGACTTTACAGTCTCTTAATCCAGACCTCTTTCTGGGAAAGCTCAGTCTCCACCTCTGCTCCTGCAGATGCAACTTCCATCAC